GAACACAAAAGCGCTGGCTTCACAATCAACAGATATGTTGTCAGAAGCCTTTTTTTNAATAAATGTAGAAACAAAAGGTTTTCCAAAATACAAAGCTCTGCAATATAAAATTCATGAAGATATGAATCCACACCCCCTCCCTATTTCTGCAACCTGCTAAAACCTTACCAACCGCCATCTCCTTCCCTTTGGTGGGCACTGACTTGCTCCATGTCTCCTGCCCTGTCCCCTCCACCGTCAGTGGTTGGGTTTACATGCTTTCTGCCCCCACCCTCTGGAACTTCATCCCAGAGCCCCTCCGTCTTGCCCCCTCCCTTGCCTCCTTCAACGCCCGCCTTAAGATCTTTTGTTGTCCTGTAAAAACTCTGGTCCAGAAGTAAATTATGTCATGATGGAGTTCCTATAGACGTGGTAACCCACAATCTGTTATTGGAAAGAATTCCCATTTACTTGATTCAGATTCCTTATTAAGGAACACAGTTATGAAACAGTCTAAATACGACCCTTTTGTGCTTTGCACTGAGGTCATCTCTTGTGTTGTCAGTACTGCAGCACTATTGAAAGAATAAGCAATTTGGCAAGCCTAATGAATTGGTGAGACTCTCTCTGGTTTGATGTTGTCTTTTTCAAGTGGAACCTCTGGAAATCCCTCCCTGGATCCCCCAGTCTTGCCTCTTCTCTATCCGTCTTTAAATCCCATTTTAAAACATACCGCTTCACCCACACCTATGGTCATCTCCCCCTTCCTCACTTTCCCCCTTGCCGGCTCAGCAACCTTCTCTGCCACTGTAAAGCTACAACATTATTCTATATGAAGGGTGTGATATGTACACAAATTGTTATTGTTCTTAAATGTGCATATGGACACTTGCGTATTTCTCCTTGAGTTTCTGAATTATCTAAGTTTAGCCCCTGAATATGGGATCAAAGCTGATTTTCACTAAAATTAATTCTAGGAATTTCCAATTCCATTCAATCAAGTGCATCGTTTGTATGCAGTTCAATACATTGCTAGAGCCTTACTTCTATTTCATATTATGAAGGTATCAGTGGAGTATATTTCTCCAATGAAATCCTTTTTCCTTCATTGTTTGAGTAGAAAATAATCTTCCATTTTAGCTATGATTTTTTGCCAGCATTTTGGAGTCATTTATTAAATAGTGACATTGACAATATGAGTTAACAATGACACTCAGCATAGGTTGGTGTGCATTGTCAAAGTTACTACACTGTGGTATGAGGAATGTTATGCTCTTTCCATCCTCTTCTACTACACTGGATAAAATCTGCCATTAGGATGACAGGTATTCAAAGTTCTCTCCAGGGATATAATTTAAGACTACTAAGTAATTAAAATGACCACTGTTATGTTAGTCCCCTAACACAACAATGCAACCATTCACTGATGTGCTTTGCAGCAGTTGAAGGTCAAGTTCTTCTGAACCCCATTCACACAGATGTGTATATAAATATAACTTAAAATCTACTCACATAGCGCTATGGAAGTTTAGGATTTTTTTTTTACTGTTATCATTTAGTCATTGTATATCATTGGTAGTTTAAACCACAGGGTCATAAGCATTGAAGCATCAGGAGGATGCACAAAGATTGTGACAGCAGAGACAAGTAAAGGCATAAAAGAGACTTGGTAAAGAAAGGCCCAAGAAAAAAAACAAGAAAGGATTTATAGGCAAGAATCTTGCGATAGGCAAAGCTGTAGGATACATGTAAAGTGTATAGAAGAGGTTGCAAAACTGTTGATAATGAGAATGTGTAAAATATTATTAGCAATCATGGAACATGGGGTACAAAGATCTTGGAGGTATAGAGTTCCATGTCTTAGTTACCTTCAGAGATCAATTGCAGCCAACCCTAGATGACGTAGTGCAACAATGTGAAGTGCATTCCCAATTGAGCAGTTTAAAGGGAACAACAAAACTAATCCATCTTTGGAAAACATTTGTGTTCAGCATGAACACCATGTATCAACGAATGAGCAGATTCACCAAAAAATGCCTAAAGCTATATATCTAGTGAAGGTTATTGTAGGTTGTGGTGATAACTCCAAACAGCTGTCCAAACAATGTCTGTGAGTAGGTCCATAACCAGAACAAAAGTGTGCAGGGATGTCTGGTCTGTGTTGCACCCATATTTGTTTTGATATTAAGCATACAATATTAGAGCAGAAGTGGTGAGCTACATGTATTTGTGCTTTGTGAAAAATCCAGTTATAACATGGTAATAATGGACGAATCATCGGCGATTCAAACATTTTTTCTATTCATTGTCACAAATTTATATTTTTACTCCTTTTCACGATTTGTTTCAAAATCCATACGTGTTCTTTGCTCTCCCAAGTGTTGGGACAGTTTAGTGAAGGTTGGTCTTCTTACCTTTAGTATTACTACCACAGGCCATCTGTGCATGGATGTGCCATGTCACCAAAGTGTAACCAACCTGAGTATTGGGGCTCCGAAAAAGATCCACCATTGGTTGCTGCCCCCATGATTGCATGGACATTGGTGGACTACAAGCTTACAGTTTATAAAATTCAATAGGAGATCCAGACAATGATAATAAGATTTCCGCCAACTGTAACTTGTGCCAAAGTGAAACCTGCTATCTGTGCATAATCTTGTTGCTTTGTACATTGTCTTGTGTATCATGTGAAGCATGATATCGTGGTTCATCTTTGTTTAGCAGATTTCTGTTACCTTCTGACCCAGGCCTGAACATTTCCAGAAATATAGAAACGCAGCTGTTATGAAACATGGCCACCAGCACTGTCGTAGAATCATCTTGCTTCCAAATCTGCCTGCAAATGTGGGCCACAGTAGCCAGAAATCTGCATGAACAGCTACTCCATCATTCTGCAGGCATGGCATTCTGTTGTAGTACACATGATCCATTGGTTAGTAGCAAAACTATTGGCAGAGATGGTGGTAGCGTCATTCCCATGTTATTATCCCATCTTCATCTGGCACTGCCAGAAATCACAATGCTACATTGTTTCCCAAAGTAAATCAGCTTCTGAAAATGGCTAAGAATAGCATGGTTGATGTCCCACTTTATGAAGAATTCTACTTTTCCACAAGGCAGATCAGCAAATGTCACTCATTTTACTGTTAGCCAACACAACAATGCATACAAAGGTTTTCTCGATGTGACCTAAACCCTGACCGCAATTTTTCATGACTTTACATTGGAAATATGGCATGATTATAGTTTCATTACTTTATCAACCAACGCTTTATGGAAAACGTCTTGTCTGCTGTTTAACTCCTGCCCCAAATGACTATTAGCTGTAAAATTTCATTCAAATTTGGGGTATATAATGAATTAGTTGGTAGCACGCTTGCCTTTGAGTCGACAGGTTGAGGGATCAAGCCCCACATCAGGATTTTGAACCCAAGTAGTCTGGGCAGATACTTCAGTCCAGTGCTAGGGGTGTGCTGCATTATTGATGGCCTGCATTGTTGAAGGCCCTTCTTTAAACTGAGGTCTGTCTGCCTGTTCAGGTGAACGTTAAAAATCCCATAGCACTATTAGAAAAGAGAAGGGAATTTCTAACTGGCCAACTGGACAGAAAGAAATATCATTCATTTCATGGCTGAGGGACATTGCTAGAGGAAAATTGTTTGCTGTGTTACCCTACAAATATACAGTAACTACACCTTACAGAAAAAAAAACCTCTGTGAAGTACTTTGAGTCTTTTCAACATGACAATATCATACGCAAGGATAATTATAGTATTGCCCAAAATAAATTTCACAAATGAAGTGATAATGGAGATGTTTCGTCAATATTTCTAAACTTGTGTGTTAGTCTGATGCAGTGGTAGCATACTTGCGTCTGGGTCAGAAGGTTGTGGGTTCAAGCCCCAAGTTGGGACTTGGAATCGCATAGCCTAAGATGACACTCCAAAGCAGTGCGGGGACTGTGTTGCATTGTTGGAGGTGTTTTCCTTCAGATAAGTTGTTAAACTGAGGTCCAGTCCGCCTGTTCAGGTGGATGTTTAAGATCCCATGGCACCATTTGAAAATAGAAGGGAGTTTCTTCCAAGTGTCTTGGTCAACAATCCCCCAAATTAAATTGATCACTCACTCCATGGCTTTTGTGGGACACTGCTGTGCACAACTGGCTGCCGCATTTTGCTCACAAAATACACAGTCAATCCACTTTACAGTAAGTGCTTTGAGACTTCTCGACGGCATGAACGATGCTATATCAAATGCAAGGATTATTGTTGTTATTATTATTTGTGATTTTACATGAGCTACCTCCAGTTGTTGAAAGGAACTCAGAATCTGAAGAGAGAAAGCAATGCATTATCTGTTGGAGAATGTAACATTATCAGTTGGGTGAAAATCACATGGTATTTTAGAGACATGTAATGCATCTAAAAATATGCGTTTATTGGAGGCGGAAATAATTTGTAAAATTATTTGCTTAGAGTCCAACCCAGTCACAGTATAGTGTGACACTATTCTGCATGAAGAGCAGGTTGTTGTTGAGAACAAAATACTAGCAAAATCAATACTTGAAAAAGGTAATTGTTGTAAAATTGCGCAAAAAGCAATATTTTTTTTAAACAAGCACTTGCATTAACTTAATGTTTTATCTACAGATTATACATATATGTAGTATTCAATATTTCAGAATTATCAGATGTACAAAAATCAAACCTTTATAAAAACAAAGGCGCTATACAAAGTGCAAGGATTATTATTATTACCAATAGTGCAAATAAAATTATTTTAACACACTTTAGATCAACTTTAGGCTTCAAGCACGTTCTTAATGTAAGAACAATGATGTGAAATCTAATGCCGATTAGAAGTTCTTAAACAGATAATGCTTGCTTGCTTTTTCCATTAAAGATTACAGGCAAACAGAAATTATTCATAATAAAACACAAAGCTATGAAATCGTTCAGTTAAATCCCTTTAATTCTCCTTGATGTATACAACAAGCATCCGTAATCACTTTCAAAAGGATCTTAATGCTTCTTGTATGTTGTAATGGGTCCCGACTGAACTGTTGAATGAAGTGCTTGGTCATCAAAGAAAATATGAGGGCGAATTTTATCTATGATCAGTAATTTTGGTGTACCGTAAAGAACAAAGGCTTCATCCACCTCAAGGCCCCAGCCGCGAATTATCTTCAAAGCTTTTGCTCCATTAGTCGCACCGCATTTTGCCATGATCAAGTATATTCGGATTGGGCAATCCATACGTTCATTTTTGGCAAAGAACTTTTTCTGGAGTTTGCCGAGAGCTTCCAAAAATCCTACGAGGGGGGCCTGTTTGTGAAACAGGATGAATTACAACTTCAGAAACAACTGGCGTTCAATACTTCCTAAAACCTCATCATAGACTTAAGTTAATCTCTGCTAATTTCACACTCTTGTCACTTTAGATAACCAGCACAATAGTTAGTTTAAAGGGACATAAGTCTCATTTCCCCTTCATTTTTTGTGCATTGTGCTTGTCTCCTTTTAGGTGACCCATACTAATAATCCTTGCATTTGATATAGTGCCTTATCATGTCTTCTAGACTTTTCAAAGTGCTTCACAGAATATACTGTAAAGTGAATTGACTGCATATTTTGTGGATGAAACGCGGCAGCCAATTGCGCACAGCAGTGTCCACAAACAGTCGTGGATTGAGTAACCACATTTTTTTTTAAAGGAATTAATAACCCTGGACCCATTCCCAAAATATTTTCACAGACAGAATTCCCCAGCTTTGTCGTGTCCTGAATGCTAATCTACAACCAGTGCTTAGTATTTGTACAATACAGCCAGGTTGTCACATCTTGCAATATTTCCTCTATCCTTATGCATCTCAGCTCCACTCAGCATCTCTCCTGACTGATCTGGACAACTGGGCATGGCCTTGGAGGGATTAGCAAATTAACGGTGTAGAAAGGCTTCTTTCCTTCACAATGTGTTTGCAAGTCACCCATTGCAGAACATACACTTACATTGCTCCTGGGCACCCACCTCCCTGCAGAAATATGCAGAATGCAGAATGATACGAAAACCGCAAGCATTCAACATTCCCACCACTCGAACGCCAACATGTGATAGAAAATGGTTGACAAGTTGATCACAGGTTGTTAAATTGTATGTTTGGAAGCTTGGAACCCCAAACAATTCCCTAGGTAACCGGGACAGTTGGGGTTGGAGGGATTTTTTAATATAAAAATTTAAAAAATAATATAAAGAGGTGACATTTACTGCAAACAGAAGCATTTATTATTGCATAGTATACTGATCAATGCCCTACATACTTAAGAATAAAAAGGATTCTTGGAAACGCATTCCCCCCACTCAATGTTTGAAAATGTATTTCAAGCACAAATCTTCCACTTTCGGAGCAACTAAGATCCAAAATGTGGCCTGAAAACCTTTTTCAAAAAAATCGTTAAACTGAACCAAATCTTAACTGAACCAATTAAAGAACCCAAATCTGTTTTTATCTTTACTCACTCTTAAAAGTGCTCACTGTGGTAAATCGTTGCATTTCAACAGCTACTTTTATTTTAATCTGAACATAGGGTTTCTCTGATGGTATGGAAGAAACTCTGCTAACGAGTGCCAACAGTATTCCTTTCATTCAGTGACAGAGAAACCAATGTGGGAAAATGCAGCTTCGGAAAGTGAAACTGATAAATGGTGAAAATTCATATTCATAACAATTCTAAATGCTGCTATGACTACAGACAATGTAACATAATAGAAATTGAAGAATAAACTTAAAAGAAAAAATCACAGAACATTTCAGTGAACAGAACATTATGTTGACAGATATTGACAGATCAGAGTCAGCAGCTCTGAAACAGAGACAAATTCCTAATACCATGAACAGGAAAAGAAACAGAGACAATAAGAAACATAATTATAAAATTAGGTTACTCACTTTTAACGGCTTTGGTTGTTCATGTGGTTGTAAGATAGAGAGTGTAAGTGGAAAAATTATTTTGCTGCAGAAAAAAATAATCTGACCCTGCATTCTCTCTGGCCCCTACAGTATAACTTGGGCAAAAATAAACTTCCGAGGTGGTGTGTCAGGCAATGGTTGAAGCATTGGTACTCTGATTAGACATTGTTCTAATTGCCAGATTGACACTATTGACAGAGTGTTCTGGAGGCAGAGTTTACTATCTTACCAGATGCCAGTTATGAAGAATATTTTTTTAAATGTCGTTATAAAGGGTATCATAAAGAGTGTTGTACTGCAACCTGTCACCATTGCAGACAGCCATGTCCATAGAGTTCATTATTCTAAAAGTGCCTTCCTCGCTGATCTCCCCAACTCCACAATACACAAAATACAACTTATTTAGATCTCCGCCGTCAGGATTCTCACCCGCACAAAACTGCGTACCCATCACACCAGTCCTTGCCAGGCTCACTGGCTCCCAATTACTGAATGGATTGATTTCAAGATCCTCTCACTCATTTTCAAATCCCTTCATATCTTCGCACCTTCTTACCTATCCGATGTGCTTACACCCCACTCCCCCATTCGCTGACTCCGCTCGGCTGGCTCCGGCCTCCTGTTTGTCTCTTGTCCACTCTGCTCCACCATCGGCGGCCGTGCCTTCAGCCAGTACACCCCGAAACTCTGGAACTCTCTCCCTCAATCCCTCCGCCTTTCCCCCTCCCTCTCCACTTTCAAACCCCGCCTAAAGACCTTCCTTTTAATTGTGCTTATTGTCACCTCCCTCCTGCCTCTCCCCCTGGCTAGGGATTAGACTCTTCCACTGTCAAGCACTCTGGGACGCTACCCCGTATGAAGGGCGCTATATAAATGCAAGTTGTTGTTGTTGTTGTGGATGTGCAAAGATCAGCTCTCACCCAAATCATTGGGTGTTGTAGGAGCAGATCATTGAACAGGATCCCAATGCTATGTGTCCAGGGGAAGAATAGCAAAGAGAGCGATAATATTTATAGTTGTCTGAACCATGGAAGACAGATTTCAATGCAAATGATTGCACAACAGTAACAACTTACATTTGTAATGTTGAATGAAGCATTTCACAGAAACACTAGGAAGCATTGAGCAGAGAGCAGAGACGATGGAATTTAAGGTTGTTGATCAAAGGCATGGTCAAAGAGCGAGGTTTTAAGAGGATTTTAAAGGCAGGAAGGAGCGAGCCAAATGGATTTTTAGAAAATGTTTAAGGGAACGGATAAATATATGTAAATGCTTTTTAGAAAAGGAAATGATAAACAAATAGTAAACCATTAGTAAGAACTAACTTGCATTTTTATGGCACCTTGACAAACAAGACTAATCTAGTTTCAGTTAACTAAATCTAAAAGTACTTCACCGATAATTAACATAAAATCCAGTAAATAATCAGTAGGCCAACACAATAGTCTTTTACATAGCAAAGTTGCATAAAAAGTCCTGAGGTGCATAGCCAATTTATTATACTATTAATATCTCATCTGAAATCATATCTCTGATAATGCCCCCACTTACCCCACCCCCTCCCCCCAAGGAGAATAGTCACCAGTTGGTAATTTGATATCCAACAAGTGCGGGTTTAAGTCCTCACTAGGTGAATGGGAGGTAACAGGAACTCCTGCGAGCTTCCTGGTGGGCAACACATCTCAGCATGAAATGCTTAAGAGTATCCAAACCAAGCTGAGATTTCCATGCATCCCACCTACACATGGAAATTCCAGAGATAGATTGTTGGAATGGAATGTGCACTCTCTCCCTGGAGGAACACATCCGTCTTACCTAATTCTGGAAGGTATTAGGTGCAGTTTGGCAAGAGCGAAGGCTTGGGGACCCATGATTGTGCATAGGGGTACTGCTGGAGTCTGACCAGCTAAAACCCTGTCCCCAATGACTGGTCTGCCCTTCCAAATCCTGCCAATGAGCCAGGCTGGCTGTGCTGTCATCAGCAGTGCCCTGGAATACTGCAGACCCACCTGGCTCAGGAACCGGACTACCGAGACCACCACATACCATTCAAGCAAGTCACCTTGGAGCCAGTTCAGCCCCCACTTATCTCCCTCTTCCCACCCAGGAGCATAGTCACTAATTGGTCATTCGACACCCAGCAAGCTTGGGTTTGAGCCCTCACTATGTGGATGGTAGGTACGAGGAACTCCCTGTGAGTTTTCCCGGTGGGTAACGCATCTCAGCATGAAATGGGTGATAGCATCGACACCGTCTTCCTGGCCACAGCTCGGACTCCAGGTAGAGCCTTCCAGCAGCTGTCACCCCAAGCCTCAGAGTCTCCTCATCAGCTATCTGTGGGAATCTGCCTTCAGCGTGGTGGGTGGATCTTTACATGACAGCTTGTGACGTGCTAGCCACCTTGATGTTCTTGAAGTCCAAGTCTATTATCGTGTACCAGGTTTACTCAGTACCAGCTGCTCCAGGTCCTCATGTGAGGAGCCTTGGCAAATAAATATGCCCATTGTGAAGCCAATTCCATCTCCAGGGTGTTCAGTGACAGATCAGTGTAGGCTGGAGGCCTCCATCCTTGCAGCCGCTTCCCGTGTTTGCCACAAATTCCACCTTACTGCTTGATCCTGGACTTTCCAAATGGGCCAGAGGAAGTCTCTCCACCGCCAGGTGCAACAAATTAATTATTGTCTTCCACGTAACTTTTGCAATTGTATCCATGTAATGCAATCCATATATTGTAGCATACAATCTCTTTTCTAATGAAAACATGTTGAGTTCCATGAGTCTCTCAAAAGAGCCAAATTGATTTGCACCGCATGCATTTATACTCTAACAGTATATATTCAATATTCTGGTTAAGCTATTTCCTCAAGGCGATCTCAGCAGCTGAGTTCCAGAGCGAATTCCTTCATGCTTCAATGCCTCACACATGATTTACACTAGGATTTTCATGGCAATTTGGCAAGTTTTTTGTGCCAATTTGGCATGAATTTCATGGTGAATCAGCACAAAAAGCATTGTATAAACTATACATTAATCTTTTCTGTAAGCCTCATGTTCGAACATTTAAGTAGATTATTGCCAGTGAATTGTCCTTGTGAACTCACTCACTAGTATCCTGAAAGACTTTCAGTGGATTTAAAGCACATTATTACTTATAAATCCATTGCAATTATATATGAAGATCTATGGGCTCCTTTAATGAACATAATAGTACGTTGTCAAATGTTCTGAAGGACTTGCCCAAATGTCCCCAGTACTAGCATTAATTCAAATGGTCTACAATTCAAAATGTAAACAGCCATAACTTTTTGATATCCTGAGATAGCTTCATGCTATCCCACTCCCTTAATCTTCCCATCC